CCTTTAAGTAATCTTGCTAGCCTAGCCTGGACTAGCGTAACCTATCCTAATTTAACCTATAGTAACAACCTTGGCCTAGCCTAACCTTATTTTAGCCATCCTAACCCTAGTCTAGCTTAGCTTCAATTAACTACCCTTATTTAACCAACAGTAACCTAACATTAGCCTAGCCTAGCCTAGCCTAGCCTAGTCTAGCCTAACCTTAGTCTAGCCTAGTCTATCCTAGCCTAACCTAACTACCCTAAACTAACTTTCAGTAGGGCATGTCAGGTGACATTGATATTGGTAGTCTCCTAACACCTGCTGCCACTGTTCACCTAGCAGTAAGCAGTGTACCTGAGTTCCAGCAGGCTGGGAAAGAGGATCTAGGTATCCTACTAGTTATAAACCATACTACTTGGCTTTCTTGGGTTTTACTGGGTTAATTATCCAAATTAAATCGGCTTATACACATACAAAAAATGGCCAAGTGCCTTTGACAGCTGTTATTTATCTACATGCATATACTAGAAGGTCGAGGGTTGTCGTTATTTGAACTGAGGTTGAATAAAAACTTTCTGTAACTATTTTTAAGTTTGAGTTAACCAAATTTCTTACAGTTGCCTCGTCAGGAGAGCATGACTCTGACGTCATTGACCAGGCCTCGCCTTGTGGTTGGTTAGTCAGTCGTGACGTCAGAAGCTGAAGACCAGGCCTCGCCTTGTGGTTGGTTAGTCAGTCGTGGCGTCAGAAGCTGAGACCAGACCTCGCCCTGTGATTGGTTAGTCAGTCGTGACGTCAGCAGCTTAGGACCAGACCTCGCCCTGTGACTGGTTGGTCAGTCGTGACGTCACAGTAGGATAACTCTGGGCAGTTTTTTCCTTGATCGGCCTGAGATCATGACGTCACCAAACAGTTGCCTACCCAACGGAAATTCATTCATTCCCTACCTTAATAATTTTCCCAATATTTAAATAACTATTTTCACTTGAAAAAAAATATAATCACATCACATGTGCGAATAATTCCCCTCCACTGATTAGAAAATAATCCAGCAGACGAAGACAAGGTCTTGTAATAACATCACAGACTAAATTCTATTGCCAACGTCACTGTATCCGCTCGTGACGTCACTGTATCCGCTCGTGACGTCACTGTTTTCTAACACCCTCTGAAAAAATAAACAATACTTGTACAACACAAACATTTTAATTAGGACACATTTCACTCGTGGGAGATTTAAAACCTCCCAGATGTCGCACAAGTATAAATATTACACTGAACATATATACCAGGTGCCTGTAACTACGTCCTCTTCTCATAGTCGTATACGAAAGATGTTACCCCTTATAGAAGGTCCCGAGTTGGTACTCCCGTAGTTGCAACTGTCTTGTTTATTTATTTATTTTTTATTTATTTATTTATTTTATGTCTTTGCAAACAGTACATTGAGATTTTGTATTTACAATAATGGGTTGCAATGCAAAAAGAAGCCTTTATTATGCCTAGGCATTATGGGCCAACTTAACATTATTGGCTTACAGACTACTTAACACTAAGGAGTATATCATAGTTGTACAGTAAGATAGTAATTATTTGAGTTGTACAGTAGATTATTAATTATAAATGAATCAAAATTTGTATAAGACAAAAGATATATTCATATATTCGAAAATGCTTTTTGTGAAAACAATGATTCAATTATATTCGTGTCAACAGTGGATAAAAGGTTCAAAGTGATTGTTGAAGTTATGATGTGGGAGTACATAAGTAAGTGTGTACTATGTATTTACCGTTTAGTCTAGGGTGACTAAGTAACTTTTGAGAAGAGTCTTAAATTGATTTTCAGACTGGGTTACTTTAATATCTTCTGGTAATGAATTCCATATTTTGGGGCCCTTTATGTGCATAGAGTTTTTACACAGTGTGATATGGACACGAGGTATATATCAAAAAGAGATCTGTGTCTTGTGTTGTGGTCATGTGTCCATTATATCTGTAGTAAACGATAACTCGGGGCCTCCTACGAGTGAAACACTGCAGATATAAAATGTCATACACAGACACGCATGGTAGACCCACAGGCCGAAAAATACGGACTCAGGAGCTGGAGTACCAGCAGGAATACTGCATCATCAAGGGCACCCTTGATGATGCTAGTTTAAGAAATTTCATCCCAGGAATTTGCTAACTCCATATATCTAAGTTTCAGTTTCCCAGGCGTAGTATATGCACAGAAAAATGCGCACCTCTTGGTGCGTATTTCTCTGTGCATGTGTATCTCTCATTGCACATACAAAAATATGGATTAAGGTTAACTGTCAGCGTTTATACGCTTGAAGATATGCACCTTTTGGGGTATGTATGTCACGTTCGTGCAACTGTTAGAGGTGAAAATGAGAGTCAGGATCCTTAACACTTTTGGGGGTCTCGTTTGGTTGGTAAGGTGTCAGGAAACAGGACAAGTGTTTCCTGACGCGGGTCTTAGTCATACAATGTATATCACACGCATCATGGAGTATGCTGCGCCAAAATGCACCTCACGTCCGATCAATCATGTTCAGAAACGTCCAGATGTTTCCATCTAGCGGCCAGTCCAACAGCTGAGGGAAATGTCTTGTAAAGACACATTGCAGATAAAGCTTTTGTTGCTATAACGTCAGCCTCTGCGTAGAGCTTTACCAAGTGACTCGACAAAGCTCTACACTAAGCAATACAATGTCCCAATTAAAGCTTGTTCGTCGACATGTATCTTTTGCATAGTAATGTTAGCAGTACATGTCGATGCAGGGGAACAGCCTGTAGTGAAACATATTGAAGACAATCAGTGGAAGGCAGATAAGACAATCAGTGGAAGGCAGATAAGACAATCAGTGGAAGCCAGAGAAGACAATCAGTGGAAGACAGAAGATAATCGATGGAAGACAAGATAATTAGAGGAAGACAGAGAAGACAATCAGTGGAATAATCAGAGAAAGGCGGGGAAGACAATCAGTGGACTCAATAGGACAGACAGAGCTAAAAAAAAAAACGGATAAGCAAACATAGGTCACTGGTCACACGTCCTGCATGCAACCTGGCACACGACCTGCATGCAACTGGTCACACGTCCTGCATGCAACAGGTCACACATCCTGCATGCAACTGGTCACACGTCTTGCATGCAACCAATCTCTTGATGCATGGCACTGCAGTAATAATCAGAATTATATTCTTGAAAAAACGTGGCAGGAAAAATAGATTGCAGGGGGTACCCTTCAAGAAGGGTGTCTTGACACTACTGAAGGCCTGAATCAAGAAGTTGGAGCTACCCTCCCCCCTTCCTTGGATCGAACCTAATTACCTCCCATCCCCCAGGCAACACTTATGTAAATGAAGCGAGATTACCATCTCATACACGGCCCATAGGGCACAGGTCGTCGTAGCCCTTACATTTAACACCTCAAACAGCGTAATAATTTTTACGTAACCTAGCAGAATGAAATGGATTGGTAGGAAGAGGCGGAAGTGTGTTCGCAGCGCGTGTCCAGGATCATATAGCCACTACACACGGAAGAGGTAAATTGATTTTTAAAATATACTGAGCGCCTTGACCTTCGTAACTCAACGCTCAATACAATGAAATATTTATTAGTTGCTTGAATTCGTGTCATATACACACGTGTCATATGTATACACGTGTCGTATGCACACACGTGTCATATGTATACACGTGTCGTATGTACACACGTGTCATATGTACACACGTGTCGTATGTACACGTGTCATATACACACGAGTCATATGTATACACGTGTCGTATGTACACACGTGTCATATACACGTGTCATATACACACGTGTCATATACACACGTGTCATATACACACCGTCGAGAGGACGATACCACTTGTGTTGTTTAACGCTAAATTAACCAGGAAGGTTATTATCCCAGGTCAACGCAACAAAAACACGTAGTATAACTTAGTTACGACTGAATTCTCTAACAGAAGATTTTATTCGGATTATTAAATAGATGGTTAGTAGCCTCTGATAAGGAAAAAAATTAAAAAAAAAAAAAAAAAGACTGGATTATTCCGAATAAAAAGGCACATTACCGTGACTGGAAAAATACGCAAATAACCCGCAAAAAAAAAGAGAATGAAACTTAACGTTGTGGTCCAACTTGGACCATTAACTAGTCACGTGTGTGACTAGTTAATGATCCAAGTTGGACCGAAACGTCGTTGTAAGTTTCATTCTCCTAGGTACTTAATTTCTACTAGGCGAGTAGGAACAACAGGTGTAAAGAAATATCCTCAAATTTCCAACTCATCCCGGATTCAAACCCGGGTCCTTCAGGTGTAACCCTAAGTGCTACAGCTTGAGTCACAAGCCACAACAGTCGACTCTAACACCCAGGTACCTAATTACTGCCAGGTGAATAGGGAACAGCAGGTGTAACGTGACTTGCCCAATCAAAATACGAACCCGGATCCTCTCGGTACTGTCAATACGTCTCGCCAGGAAATAGAACCCAGGATCTTTCAGGTGTGCTCAGAGTGCTCTACCGCCGATCTATACGTCAACACCATAGAACAAAACAACATTCATATTAACTAGTGTTGAATAAAACAAAAGTCACACTGGGTCACAGTATCTGTAGAGAGGGAGGGGCGTAAGTTGGTCCAACACGGCTTTGTTTACCGGTTGAGTCATACTTGCTGTATCCGCAATTCCCCAGAAATTAACATTCTATTCTCGCCTTCCAAAAATTTCGTTTGTGGTGAAATATATATTTTTAAACACTTACATTGACATATCGTTGACGCTGTAATACTTGGTGGTATCTCGTACGTGGACACAGATGTAATGCCAGTTAATTTTAGGTTAAGGTATATTAAAAATGGATAAAAATGATGAGTTATTTACGAAAGAATGCGAGTCTGAACGAATGTTAAAGAGACGAGTACAAGCTACAGGTGTTACAAGAATTCACATGACTGTGCGTTGGTCACTACTGTATATATTCTGGGGCTGCCTTCCCGCCTGCTACTGCCATCCCTGAGTTTGTTCCTTACGTTAGCCACTGCTGCTGCTAAGGCAGAGCAGCTATACTAGAAAAGACCCTGAAGAAATGGTGTTATAAACGCTAACTCAGAAAAGTGAATTTTGTGCTCAGTGTGGTGCTCATCAGAAATTTTGTAGCTTTACACTGCATGGTTGAGTAACTCTTGTGTAAAGTTTTTAAATTAGTTCGCACAAATAAAGCGGACAAAAGGGGTATACAGGAAAATTGGAATATCATTGCTGATAAGCTATCGCGGGAGAAGCCGCCATATTACTCCTGAAAAGGCGACTCAGGGGAGGAGCTCAGTGCGCGTCAGACCACCGTCAGAGGAGGACGTGTATCAAGTGCTCCCGCTAACTCTCCACCTAGAATCCTCTCTACACTCTTCCGAACCCACTGGAAACCAGGAAACGCCTTCAAGATGGGGTGCATCAGTAAACTTGGGTTGTTCATCCTGAACTTCGTTGTGTTTGTGAGTATCAGATGGTGACGCCTGAGGCTTCAATGGCGGGCTGGAGGAACACGGCTGCAGCTTTCTCTTATTGCACTCCCATCAAGGCCTTTATGCTGCTGAAGGGATCTTGATCAGAGGAATCGGAGCTACCTTCCTCTGTTAAAAACCTGATTAACTACCTTTTCCCAGGCACTACCTGTTACTCCCCACCTGTCACACACCGTCCCATCTATATTCGACTCCTCCTCCACCTATATTACGTCTGTCTTACGATGGAAATAAATAGTATAAAATACCCACACTATGGAAAAATAGACAAATGCAGTATAATACGATCCTTTACTGTCTACGTTTCGCCCACACAGTGGATTTTATCAAGTCACAGGCAAATATGCTTGAGATGAGGGTACAGGAGTATATAAATGAAGCACAGTGACGTGAGGTCAGGTGGAGAATATTGAGAATAATCAAATAAAGCGCTAAACCGACAAGGGTCATGCAGAGCTGGATCCCCTCAAGGAAGGTTCCTTGACGCTGGTGAGGGGCTCTTGATTTAGGGAACTGGATCTGTGTTCCAGTTCCCTGAATTTAGCCTGAATACCTTCCACACCCTCCCCCCACATGCGCTGTATAATCATACGGGTTTAGCGCTTCCCCTTGATTATAATAATAATAATAATATAATAATAATGCAAAGCTGGAGAGAGAATATTGAGAAGGTTGGATTTGAGACTGACCTCAAATCCAGCCTTCTCAAACACGCTCCCAATAATATACTCTTGTATTCTCTTCTCAGATTATATAAAATGGATATATTCATAACCATGATTTTTTAAAGAGGTGGAGGGGTAAGCCAGGGAAAGTCCTCGGTCAGATGACCAAAAGCTCCAGCTGTGGGTCATATGAGTAAGACCCCCATCAGGGAACACTTGTGACTTGATAAGTGTGGGCGAAACGTAGTCGGTAAAGGATCGAATTATACTGCGTTTGTCTTTATTCCATCCCTGTCCTAATCTGGCCTTCCAACCGGTGAATGAGGCTCTTAATTCAAGGAATTGGCCCCTGACGTCCCCAAGGCCCTGTATGACCTCCCCATGCATGCAATACTCTCCTGCCTCGCTCTTACAACATCGATCTTACGTTGCCCATATTAATACTAACTGTGAACTTCAATAATACACTTAAGTGTAATATTTGAATGCTGAAATAACATGTTCAGAACAAATCTGTATTGTAAATTTAGTTTTCTGGAGAAAAATGTTCGCTGTATTTTTCGGAACGTCTGAAGACAAAATGTCATTCTTTTCGTGTTCGTATAGTCTTTCTTTTCAGAATGACTTCTCAAAGGGAAGTTCCTTGACGCTGGTGAGGCTTTTGGTCTATGGAATTGGGTATGTGCTCCAGTTCCTGAATTAAGCCTGAATACCTTCCATCCCCCCCCTCCCACAAGCGCTGTATAATCTCTTCAGGTTTAGCGCTCCCCATAATTCAGAATGAGGGGAAGTAACATAATTCACCCTTACGGGTTTAGCGATTCCCCATAAGGACAGGGAATAGAGGACTACTGCAGTAGACTTGCTGGCTCTCGACTCGGCCACTCCACTTGTCTACCTGTCCAAGCTATTTTTACACCTACCCAATGTTGTTGCTTGACGCTAATTCATTCCACTCTTGTATAACGATTTCTTTCGCTAACCCTTGTGGGTTAAGCGCTTAAGTTTTGATTGTAATGTTTCTTACACTCGTGTACAACTATTGAAACAAGTGTTTTCCATTATCTATAAATTTTTAAATTTATCGAATTTAAATTAATATATTTAATAAAATTTGATTCATATTTACATTAAAACGGTATAACATATGTTTTACTGTTTTAGTCTTTGGCAGTGATAGCGTTAATCAAACATGATACGTACGGTTTAATGATTGGTCATGATAATATTAAAATTTTGCTGTTCAGTGTTTGGTTATTATATAAAAGTTTCTTTTAGCTGTGATGGTAGGTTGTCCAGGAGTGATGGTATTTAACCCTAATTTCCCCCATACGCATTATGGTATATAACACACGTGTTCATTGCGTGGTGGTGTATTTCACAGTAATGGCATTTCTGTTGACTTGTGTGATGCAAGTGAGGGTGGTATTTAGGAATATTTTGTTTGGGTGTGAAACATGGGTGGTGAATGTTGTAACAAAGAAAATGCTGGAGGCAGTGGAGATGTCATGTCTGAGGTCTGTGTGGTGTAAATATAATGTAGAGAATTCATAGTTTGGTGCGGGATTACCAAAACTATTATCCAGAGGGCGGAGTAGTTGTTGAGGTGGTTCGGACATGTAGAGATGAAGAAACATAATAGAAATGAAGTTGAGTGTATACATCTGTAGTGGAGGGAAGGCAGGGTAGGAGTCGGCCTAGGAAAGGTTGGAGGGAGGGGATAGAGGAGGTTTTGTGTGCGAGGAGCTTTGACTTCCAACGAGCATGTTAGATAGCAAATGGAGCCAAATGGTTTTTAGGACTTGACGTGCTGTTGGAGTGAGCAAAATAACGTTTATGGAGTAGGGAAACCGGCAGGCCGGACTTGTCCTGGAGATAAAAAAACACAATGTCTGCAATCTGGAAGGGTGTTAATGTTGCAGTTTTATAACTGTAGTGTCGGCGCTGTATGACCCTTGTAGGTTTAGCGCTTTTATTGATTATAAAATAACTAGTACTGTAAGCGCGCCTCTGGTAAGACAGTGATGGAGTGAATGATGAAAGTTTTTCTTTTTCGGTCCACCCTGCCTTAGTGGGAAACGGCCGACTTGTTAAAAAAAAAAAATTTTTGTTGCGTGGTGGCGTGTTAATTAATGAGGTGGTAATATTAACTGACAAGTACAGTTGGTTAAGGGTGGCAAGACTGATAGCAGCTTAAGAGCTCTTCTAATTCAGTTAGTATCTTGACATACGATATTTTTTTTAAGTTGTAGAATTAGTTGATAAACTGTCTAACTAGTTATGTAAACCCAGTAATTACGAGATTTTAGTTAATAAAGACCCCTCAAGGAGGTTCCTTGACGTTGGTGAAGGGCTCTTGATCTAGGGAATTGGATCTCTGGTCCGGGTCCCGGAATTGAACCGGAATATATTCCAGCCCCACCCCTGCACATGCGCTGTATAATCTACGGGTTTAGCGCTCCATCCTCTTCAAGGGGGGCTCCTTGGCGTGGTGAAGAGGCTCTTGGTCTGAGGAATTAGACCTATCGGTCTTCTTCCTCAGACCGAACCTAATTACCCCCCAATCTCCCCTCCCCTATCCCATCCTCCCCATCCTCCCCTTTTTCCTTTCCTCCTCCTCCTCCCCACTCCTCCCTTTTGCCCTTCCTCTTTTTGTCCTTTGGGATTTCTCCCACAGGCGCGCTAGTTCCTAGGTAGGAGAAAGGATACCGGGGTCCATCCCATTCCGTTGAGGTTCTTAGCGGTGGCGTAGTTTGCCGTGGAATCTGGATCGCCTGGGGATGTCCCGATCCCTCTCCGGTATCCTGGAGTAGCTTTGGGTGTCTTTCGGGCGACGAGTGTATCTCTGGAAGCCACCTTTCGGATTCCGGGGGTGGTGGCCGAAGGAGGTATGCTTTGTGGCGGATATCCGGCCGCCCTCTCTTTTGTCCACCGAGGTAGCTCGGCAGATGTGAGGTTGCTATCCCGGATTGTTAGTTTACTAGCATGATGGGTAGGGTATGGCACGGGTTCCATGCTGCATCTGCGCTACTTGCGGTGCTGAGGTCCTCTTGGGCGCGGAGGAAGATTTCTGGCCCTTTCATTCCTCCTAGGACCTATCCCTCCCCGGTCCCCCCTTTTTTTTTTCTTTTTTTTTTATTTTCTTCTTTCTTTTTTTTTCTTAAAAACAAAAAGAAAGAAGTAACCTAACCATGGCAGCCCTAGTCCATGAACCTGGTACCCCCGGGCACCTTCTTGATACCGCACCCCGTTCTGACCCCGCCTCGTCTTTGGACCACTCTTCAGACATTCCTCATGCCTCTGTACCTATTGCCCGTGCTGTTTCCTCACCCGCTTCAGGTACTGAGGCCTCGACTGACTCCTTCGATTTATCGGACCTTCGCTCTCCTCTGACTATGCTTCCGGCCTCTCCGTCTACGGTGCGGCAATTTTCAAATCGCCGACCCGTTCCACGTCGTACCAACTCTGGTCCCACGCCTAAACGTCAACGACAATTACCTGCTGATGATACTTCTCCACCTTCTCGTTCTTCTCAGAAACGATCGACACGTCCTTCACTACCTTTCCACGCTCAGTTTCAGACTGAACAGTGGACTAAATTCTTCACTTTACGACCAACTTCCTCTACTGCCTATCTTTCTGACCATAGTATTGGCAAGGCACTCCTACGCCATGTTGGTAAAGATATTTCTTTTCATGCTCTTAAGAGCGGTACGCGCATCATTACCGTACAGAATGCTACCCAGGCTCATGAGCTCTCTCGTCTTTCCCATATCGATACTGTTCCTGTCACTCTTCAAAAACATCATTCCCTCAATTCTTGTAGTGGTACCGTCATTCTGCCCCATACCATAGTTCAACAAAATTTCCAGACATGTGGCACCGACATTCTGGAACTCCAAGATCTCCCAATCCTCAAGGTAGACACTTACGTACTTCCTGCCCGTGGGCGGAGACGATACCCTAGCAATGTGGCTCGTTTAACTTTTGACAGCCGAGAACTCCCATCCTCAGTTTATATAGCAGGACATCGGTTACAAGTTCGAAAGGTGATCCCTACACCACAACAGTGTAGAAATTGCTGGCGATTTGGCCATCCAGCGAAATATTGCAGATCTATCGTCGAATGCCCAGTCTGTGGTGCCGATGACCATTCTAATACGTCTTGCAATCGATCTCCCTCTTGCCTTAACTGTCATGAGGCTCACCCTTCGTACTCTCGCCGTTGTCAGGTCTATTTAAACGAGCGGGAAATCCGTTACCTCAAAGAGACAGAAGGTCTCCTTATGCCATGGCAGTTTCTCA